TGTTCGTTTTAACTGCGTCGCTCTCTGTACTTCTGATGGCCATGGTGCCCCTACCTAGACGTCAAGAATTCGGTCAAATTTGTTTTTACTGTTTTTTTTTTTCGACTGGGTATTTGGAATGCTTAAATGGTTCATCTGGTAATACATGGAGTCTCCACGCTCAGTTTTCCTGTTCTGCTACAATGTAGTGACGTATAAAGCCCCAAACGTACGTTTCGTTTCCACAAGCGCATGGGCACCAAAACGTCTGTTCAAGCTAACGTGTAGAAGAAGAAATGGATGTTGGTTGTATACCGATATAACGGCGGGTAAATCTTTTCTATGCGCTCTGGGCGGATGCGAAGTCTAAGTATCCGGGTCGCGGCCTTATCACTATACGTTCGGTGCACTCACACAGTCGCGTGTAATAAATGCTACGTTAACCCGCAAGGGTGCTCTGCCGCAAGCCTCATCGCACTGAGGGGTAGCCCTCTTTACGCGCTGTGTTCGCTCCCCGATGTTACAAGACAGTATACATATAATGATTAAACAAAAAAAAAAATGAGACAGGGTTTTTTGGAATTTCTGTATTAGACAAAACTATGTTCGTTGAATAAATGCGCAGATGATAATGAATTGCAACGGTGTTGATTTAGGGGTCTTCATTCCGATCTTGGTAACAGGTCGGCGTAATGCAGACAGCTTTCAGTGCTTTCGAAATGTGTGTATACGTGCAACCTGGTGAGGATATGAAGCAAGTATGCATCAAAGGAAAAAATTTGGAACGTTTGTAAGTGCTGATCACGCATAAAACGTGTATGAAAAAAAGGGGGAAAAATACCAAAACAGAACTGCCGCACATCCTGCCGTGCGAGGTTTCTGTATTTTCCTCCAATACGCTGAATTTGCTCATGTGAATTTTTTCCCGACTCAGGAAATATTCCCGTGTTTCCCGTTCAATCAACACGGAAAGGTTTCTGAGTACCATCGCCATAGCAACCGCGACACTCCGAATAAGAGATGGCTCGGGTGCTTATACAATTTCGAGTATAATTTCGCCGTCTTTACTACCTCGAGTTGTACCGATGAATGACAACTCGCACCTTCTTCGGTGTTCTGCAATTACCGGCATTGCCAAATTATAGCTCGCGCTCTTTGTTAAAAAGGTCCGCGCGTCTGCACTGCCGAGAATTACACAGAAAGATGGTCACTTCTGTTGACAGAAGAAAGTCTCGCGGATCACAAGGCTAAAAAAACTAAAAATAATATATATAGGACCTATCTCTCTCTCTCTCTCTCTCTCTCTATAAATATATATATATATATATTTCCCCAAACCATTTCCTTATGGTATTTAAATCATTCCGTCTCTCGACTGGAACGAATTGAAATTCCTACTGGGAGGTCGTGTAAGCCTAAGAAAATCCAAAACGGTTGTTGCGTATCCTGTCGACGAATTTCAACCTTCACTCGCTGTCTGTAAAATGAAAAGACACGCACGCACACACACAGACACACACACACAAGTGAGCTGCCTGCTCGTACGGCAGAGCTAGCAAAGACGACGTGGACCAAGACGACCGGCTGCTCTCTCCTCTCCAACGCACCGTTCTATTCCGGGATTCGCGGGCGAGGAAGGCGAGCCACGCACGCCGTCGTCGTCGCCGCCGCCGACGCGTGCTGGCACCCATCGTGCACGCACCCCCAGCCACCCCCTTTTCGCCCGTATGGCCGCAACCGGGCCAAGCAATGTACAAAAAAAAAAAATAAATAAAACGAGCTACATACGACGACAGAGAGACATGCTGATGCCTCGAACCGGAGCTTCGTCGTTTTCACTCGGCTTGAAAACGTTGTTGGTGCTGCAAGACAGACACGTCTCAAGGTGATTTGTACCTCTCCCTTTCCGTTCCGTTCGTTGCTGTCACCCTTGATCAAAGCATTGTTTTGTTTAATGTCCCGACGCTTTTTTTTCTGTTTTTTCTTTTTTTGTTAGAAGGTTGTTTTGCTCTTTTGCAATATAGAATGACCATGTCAGTAGCAGTCACCTAAATATGTCCATAGCCAATGACAGCTGCAGAAACGCAGAGCATTGCGAGCTCCCGAGCATTTTACAATCGCTCCGTAGCCAATGAGATTACTGCGTTAGCCAATGAAAACGCCGAAGAACCAAACACGGAGCAAGAAGCGTGAATACATAGACACGCTCACTGCGTTTATTCATTTCTTAGTAATTCTGGTAGTAGTAAAGGTGCCCCCCCCCCCCCCCCGCCCCTTCCCGAGAAACAAAAGCCTGGGAGCTTACTATGTCACGAGACTTTGGTCGGATAGTAACTCGAATAAAAAACCGGTTTACTCAACCTTTTTTTTTTTTTTTTTTGCTTTTTTTTTTTTTGTAGTCGTTGTTTTTTGCAAGGGGCGAGCAACGAGGTTGACGAAAAACCGAACAACTCAACCTTCTAAAACGTGACGGCCTGAAGTTTGCGGAACATGGCGGTGGACACATGGACTAGTGCGAACACGCAGGGAGAGAATGCACAAAGAAGAGACGCGACCATGACGGGTTCAATGCGCAGAAAATGATTTTAAAAAAAAAAACAAGAAGGTAGGTGCACCTGCAGACGGTACTTTCGTGCGCGCTTTTTTTTTTTTTTTCGTACATAATTTATGTTTCTTAGAAGCTGAAACGGTGGGCACATCGGAGGTACTGCTAACACCAAATTGAAAGAGTCTTCTTTATCTGTCGGCACACGTTCTTTGTTCCCTGCGTTGTGAAATGCGAAACTGGAGCTAGGGGGGACAGCCTCCCTCCACAGTTTCATACTTCATCGTCGCCGTATCGAAAGCGTGAATTGCACAAGAAGCGGCACCGTCTAGACGCAGAGAGTAGCTGAATCAATAAGGTATATTGCATGCTGAACAGCACAAGCGAACCCAGTCGAAGAAACTTTTCATAAAGTCTCTCCGCATTTAGTTTTGTTATAGCAAAACGTTGCGTGTGTATGCGCGTGGTGTTTTCTTATTATGAGTAGCGTTTTAAACTCGTTATCGCCTTTTTCTTGTATTTTGCTTTAGTGCTCTCTAGAGGTGGGGCTGGTTAAAAAAACACGCGAATTGATATCGTTTTCTTTGTAAGATACTTTCTTGTTCGTCTATTTTTGTGTCTACCCGCAAGTTTAGGGTATTCGAGTGTTTGTATGTTGGGAGAGTAAATCTACGAATGGACAATATACTGTATCCGTCATTTGGAACGCGTGAAAAGCAAAAGCGCTCAGAAAAAAGGTGGAAAGTCGCTTTGCAACTGTACGAGCAAACACTTCTGGCGCGTGTGACCGATTTGTAGGACTTTACGCTCAAACCTTTTTCTTGTCTCTGGGGTTTCACGGTAGCCGAGAAAGCGCCGATTTCGCGTATTCCACACGGACCCGGAGACTATGGGTCGCAGATTAACTTAGGTAAACAAGAAAAAAAAATAGATCAATGAAAATGGTAATTATTTACATACTATTTGAACTATTTAAAAAGCTGTCACAAGAACAGCTTCGTCAAGCTGCCCTTGTGGCAGCATTTTCCACATTCCGCCAGTATTACGTCCTTAGTACCTGATGCAAATAAACATACCAAACCAAATCACATTCATTGCAGTTAGTCTGATCCATTTTTTTTTACATCAGTACACTTTGGCACACATTATTTTTATGTTACAATCGCATTATGATAACCCAAAAACCGTCGTGCTTGTCAACTGTTTACGATAGCATTCACCAAACGCTTTACGGTAGAGGATGGCTCTTTCCTTGCTCCTACACGCAGCTGTCACACTCGACAAGATCACAGGCTGTGTTCATATGAATACCACATCAGCGGACCGGTATTTTGCAGGGGCGTGTAAGATAGGGGGTGGAGACTGAGGCAGGAGACAAGGTGCAGACGATCGGTCAATCCCAACTCGATCCATTACGGACACATTCGTGTCCACGTAGCACCTGGGTTCACTCACGTGTAGTAACACCAACCCATCAAATATGGAGTACAAAGCAAAACATCGCTGGTGAAGTTTGTAATGTTGGAAGGTAAAACTGTGACCCTAAAATGTGAGAATAAAATAATTCAACTCGGTTGCGCCGTGCGCTGTACAGTGTGAGGTCTCACCTTGATCTAACTGGCGATAACACAAGGTTAAGCACCAAGGCCTGGTGTCGCAGGTATAACTGCCCGAACGCTATCGACCAAACTTATGTCGTCCGCACACGCACGCGTCTGTGGGCCTACCGAGTACAGCATGCGATCCCTTTGTGGCGTGTGTTCGTGCGTGATAACATAGCATGGGTAACTATGTTGGCGTCCGCGCGTGTTCTTATGTGTACTGTTCGCATGTGCGTCATGCGTGCATCTTTTAGATCGAGTAGAAGAGGTACGGATGTAAGGTTCAAGCACATGAATTCGCAATTGTACCCCCTTATTAATTGCGAAAATTGTGTAAACTACAAGCATGCAGGAAAAAACAGTAAATACTAAGGCTGTTATTTTCCACATCAAACGTGTTGGCAGTTATTTGGTAACAAAGGTTGAATTCGGATACTTTTTTTCCAGAAACCGAGGATAAGACGAGTTCAGACGTGGTTTCATATGCATAAAGTTTGAACTTGTCTCCTCCCCTGTCTTTGCTTTGTATTAATTAGAGCGGATTTCAACTATATCCATTCGACTATCGCCATACTGCCCCTTTCGACACTTCCTGCATTGTGTATATCTCATAGTCGAGCGTTTCTAAAGCTGTCGGAACATGAGTGGGCGGTAGAAGCACGAACAACTTCGGCACACTTGAAATGACCAACTTCCGACCGACAAAGTCCGCGCAAGTAGAAAGATGCGGGAAGCGCCCGCGAGCGCGTGGTCAGGAGCCGGCACGCCGGCGAGGAGCTCCTCGGAATGAGGGGGGCTCGGACCCGGCGCACGACACGCGGTCGAGACGCCGGTCGCGTTGGCAGCAGCCCTGGAAGCGTGTCGGGGTTACCTACCTCGCACAGCCAGGCCGTCGCAGGGAGCCCACATTGGGCCGGCTGTCAGGGGGCGCGCTGCTGGTTCTCCGTCGGAGAGAGTCCCTTGCTCTGCGCGGCACAGGCACACTCGCGCACCGGGAGCGGCTCTACCCCATGCCGTTGTCGGAGGCCGGCATGCGAGGACGGCGGCAGAGGCAGAGCACGGCGAGCGGTGGCGTCCCGCCTGCGCTGCTGCGACCGATCCGCTGTGGCGATGTGGGCGTCGGCCCAGACTCCCTGCGCTCTTGGGGGACCTTCCGTCGAGCGTCGTCGAGCCGCATCGCAGCGTTAGGCCTCCAAGAGGAAAAAAAAACGACCTCGTCGGCTCACATGGCGACCCGGAGACCACGTCGCCGCTCCCTGCTTTTACGTGCCGTTGTGCGGGACGGGGCCTGATCGGCGTGCTTGTCGCGTGGATGGGGGGATTCGGGGGAACTTGGGGGAAGGGTGGGGGGAGAGAGTTCGACCGGACTTGAGGTGGAGGTCTGCGGCGTGCGATTCCAGAGGACGCGTGCCCCCCCACCGGCTGCTCGGCTCCTCGACTGACGCCGCTGACGTCCGGCGCGCCCTCTGCGAGGTCTCGAGGAAGCACGAGGGCAGCGCCACCGCCACCACCACGCCGCTCATCACTCGGAATCCGTTCTCGCCGAGAAGAGCTCGGACAACTTTGCCGGGGCGGACCAAGCGAGCGAACATTTCTGATTGGGCTCTTCCGAAAGAGGAAGGGCACCGACCCTGGTCGGGAATGTTCCTGATTTTAGTCCGTTTAACTTCTCCACGCGTCGTCGTGCTTGAGCAGCTCTGAGTGAAGAGTGCCAATTCACGCGCTTCGTTCTGTTTTCATTTGAGATGTTCGCTCCAACGAACTTGCAAGCAGCACCTCTTAGGCATGTCCAGCGGCGTAGACTCCATTTTCCCGGAAAGGCAGGCTAAGAAGTTCTCCGGGGGGGGGGGGGGGGGGGGGGGGGGGGGGGCATGTCGATGCCTGCGTCAATGTTTGTGACAAACATTACCAATATTAATATCTCTTGCGTATATGGTGAAATCATTTTCCCATCTGCTACCAAGAGTAAAACTTCAATTTAATCGTTATCAATTTAGATAACGTATAGAGGGCGTTTCCACGTCAGATCGTACAATGATGGTCCGGTCCGGGTCATATCTTTTGTGTGTATTTATTACGAAATATAAATGTGAAAGCCACGTTCTTGTGAGCAGCATTCAGCTATATGTGAACCTCACAACTAATGTATTTCTGGAGATAGGAAATTTTGAAGTTCGAGGTATGGAGTAGCCAACGTTTCGTCATGGCACTTAGCACAGCCGTCAATTTCACACTGAAGCTTGCACGTAGTAACAATTGTTTCTTCTTATTTTAAGAAAGGATTATAATATGTACCCATGATATTAAATATTAAAATTAAACAGATTTCTATGCAAAAAAAAAATAGATAGCTACGAAACACATCTAGTAAACAAGTTTTAGAGACACATTCACAAACTATTTAGTAACAAACAACTTTATATAAAATGGCAAAAAATTAAAAAAAAATCTTTAAGTTCACTTTACGAGTACATAAAATACACGCATAGCCATTATTGTAGTTGGGGTATTATTGCAGAAACGGAGCTGATTTCTCTAAATGTGGCAAAATTGCACGTCAATAAATTAGAAAAATGAAACTCCACCTTGTATTTCCTTGAAACTCTCCTAAATCGTGTGCTATGTTTTGAACTAACTTGGGATGGCACAAGAGTGAGTAAGGTATGATCTCCAAAAAAGAAAAACGACAACAACCTTTCACTGAAACTTAGCTAGCTCGTCTATGTTATATGGGCTTTGCCGTAAGACGTCGACTCCAACGACATTGTCTAGAACCGACGAAGGCTCTACCGCGGTGCTGCACTATCGTAGGGTGTACAAAGTCGTGCTGCCACTAGCTTAGCTTTATTTTTGTGTTTCATTGTGCTGCCGCCTAACAACCCCCCCTTTATTTATTTATTTATTTATTTTTTATTCCTGGACCTTTTGCTTACGAAAACCTCTCGGCGGACATCACTGCTGCCGACAGTTAAGGAGTGTACTCACAACCCATTACCGGTGAAACACAAATCCCGCACACGAGGAAGGTATGTCTGTCACCGCGGAAACCAGGATAGGGAAGCAGTATCTGGAAACCCGCTATCCTTGTGTTCGACATCGTGTGGCGGCAAACAAAGCCGCATACCATTTCCAAGTATCGATGCGTACCGTACAATAGAATACAGATAGAAGTGTATAACTACAAGGGTATTGTTGTTAGGTGTTATCATGTCAGTTCATACAATGGCGGTTCGGCTCATGTTGTGCATGTTTATGTAAACTATACGCTATATGAAAGGCGTGTCCTTGACTGAAGCACTCAAATATATACTTATACGTATACAGGGTGTTTCACGAAACGCGGGCCAAATCGTTCCTGTGAAAAGTACCCATCGCTTAGAAACAAAAAGTTGACGTAAAACTGGTCTCTGCCAGAAAGCAAATTAAAAAAAAAGAGAGCAGTGTTTGATATAATTAGGTTCTTAATTACGTTTGGGAACTAACTTGGTAATTAATAAATGTTAAGGTTTCATTTCAATTACAAACATTGTGGGCGTCAGCGAAAATCGTTCAATCCACCCACATTTATAAAGACATAAAGCTTGCGCACCATTTTACGGCGCTCCGAAAAGAAAAAAAGAAAGGACCGCATCTCCACGTGGTGAATTATGTTGATTGGGGCGAAGCTCTGGTGGTGCTGATGATACTGATTTTATTGTTCATAGGTAGTGCTGATGGTGCTGATTTTTTGTATTGCTCATAGCTAGTGCCGAGGTCCGGGTCACGTTTCGACTTCATTATTACTGCTTTCTGATCGGTGAAATGCAGAGCCAGTGGTTCTACTAGCGGATCAGCTTGGATCCGCCAGAAGCTATGGGAACGCATCTCCACCGCTTAAGTCAACGGTCCATGTCAGAAAGAAAATGTGTGGTATGGAACGTGGTTATATACGCATTTGAGCATTTGACCGCAGCGCCCTCTCGTCTATAAACGTTGAGCGGCTACATGCAACGTTTCATTCATGACAGAAACCCCAGCTCTTGAGTTACTACCACATCTCAGAGTCCCCTACTCGTCCAGCAGTCGTGGCTGAGTGGTTAAGGCGATGGACTAGAAATCCATTGGGGTCTCCCCGCACAGGTTCGAATCCTGTCGACTACGCAAACATTTTTTTCTTTTTATGTGAGCACGGACACCGGACGGACGGACGGATGGACGGACGGACGGACAAGGCTGGACCCTAAGGAGCTTCGCCCCTAAAAAAACACTCAATTTACACGTGATTTGAAATAAAGTAAAAGGGGAAAGAGGGGGGGGGGGGGGGGAAGAAGGGGTGTTTTAGGAGGCAACACAAAGGAACACAAATATAAAGCTAAGCTAGGGACAGCACGAATTTCTACACCGTACGATAGAACAGCACCGTTGTACGGCCTTTGTCAGTTTAAGAGAATGTCACTTTTGAGACGACGTCGTGCGTCAAAGACCCTATAACGAAGACAAGTTAGCTCAATTTGAGTGAAGGTTTGTTCTCGTGGTTTTTTGTTTTTTTGTTTTTTTTTTCTCTTGAGATAACTGCTACTCAATGTTTTACCATCACATGCTAGTGCAAGACACTGCAGTCGATTAAGGAGAGTAAAATAAATATAAAGATAGATAGAGCTTTTCTTTTTAAGTATTCACGTGGAATTTTGTCCGATTTAGAGAAATCAGCTGCGTTTCTGCATTAATAATACAACTGCAGTAATGACTAAGCCTAACTTTATATATTCGTCAAATGTATCTAAAGAGGTACATTTTTATATATTTTGCATCATTTTATATAAAATAGTGTATTGGTAAATTATTTGTGAATGTGTCTCCAAAACGTGTTTAATTGACGTGTTCCGTGGCTTTCTTTTTTTTTTTTTGCATAGATATTTTTATGGTAAGTTTTTGTATGTTTGGGGGGGGGGGGGGTGTACATGTTTTAAACCTTTCGTAAAATACGTAGAAAAATGTATCAGTACGAGGATGTGCCGAGCCAGATTCGCTCGTCGAACGCGTCGGAAGTGTTTATAAAACTGTGGTACGAATAAGTTGTGTAAAAAAAATTGAATAAATTTAGTGCGCAGGATTAATTTACATAGGGACTCGGAAAAAACATTCTACTTTCTTACAACGCAAATTTCAAGCGATGAAGGTGATAAAGACATGAGGCACACGCAGCATTATACGGCGCTCCGAAAAAACACGCAATTTAAACACGTCTCGGAAAAAAAAAAAAAGGGCGGGGGGGAGAGGGGGGTGGGTGTTTTAGGAGGCAACGGAAGGAAACACAAACATAATGCTAATTAACGGAAGACCAGCGTGTTGGTGCGGGTTAAAATTAAAGAAAAAATATACATCTAGGACGAAGGCAAAGCTAGAGACAACACGACTTTCTACACCCTCTGATAGAGCAGCACCGCTGTACAGCCTTTGTCGGTTCTAGAAAATGTCTATTTGGAGCCGACGTCGTGCGTAAATGACCCTATGGCAAAGACAAGCTAGCACCAATTTAAGTTTTTTTTTTTTTCTCTTTTTTTTTCTTTTGGATATCATATGTTACTCAATGTTTTGCCATCACATGTTAGTTCAAGACACTGCAGACGACTAAGGAAAGTTTAATAAAAAGGAGTTATTTCTAAGCACTCACGTGCACTTTTGGCATTATGCTGCGTTTCTTCACTCATAACACAACTGCAATAATACATAATATAAGCATAATTGTTTAATATGACATTTAGAAGGGGAAAGACCCGAGTAAGAAGTCACGCGCATGTGCGACCACTTCTTTTTTTTTTTCATTAAACGTTTTACACACACACAATATATATATTCGTAAAGTGCATTTAAAGATGTTAATTTTTTTTTTTACATTATGCGCCATTTTATATAAAATAGTTTGTTGGTAAATGATTTGTGAATAGGTCTCTAATACGTGTTTACTTGACGCGTTTCGTTTTTCTTTTTTTCGTATAATTTTGTCTGTAATCCCTGTCGCCTGGATGTTTTAAACCTCTGCTTGAAATATGCAGGCGACAGAGATAATGCCGGCGAGAAATTTTTCATCTCTGACGCCTGCATATTTTAAAACATCCAGGGGGATCTTCAGAGGTCATTCATCCATCCAACCGTTGTGCCCCTAGCGGCTAAGTTGAGAACTAGACCCCTGGGGACAACAACAACATAAATTATTTGCTTTTGTTTTTAACGTAGCGCTCGGCTGACGCAAGCGAACGTCCCGTCAGCGTTCGTCTGGGGACCGTGTTCCATCAGCGAAACACCGACTCGACTCCCAGCCGAACAATGACTCAGCGTTCGTGCCATATTCCCGGGCTCGATCGCGCACATGATGAAACGATTCAAGTCCAGAGGTCTTGTGTCGGGTAAGCACAGAGCTCGGTAGAAAACAAGTTGAACAAACTTGCTGCCTTCGAAGCGCGCTGTTCTAACACCTCACCGTA